TTGTTATAGAAATCAGACAATTAACATTGAACATTAAATAGTATTGATAAAGTATCCACACACCAGGTGTCTAAGTCATGTATTTTATAGAAAATGAAAATCCAAGTCCATTAGTTAGATTCAGTTGTCATGTGTCTTTAGTCCCCTGTAATCTGCAATAGTTCCTGAGTCTGCCTTTGTACTTTATGACATTGATGGTTTTTCAGCGTACACATCAATTATATTATAGAACTGGCTCCATCTGAGCTTGTGTATTTCCTTATGATGAGACACTGGTTGTGCTCTTTGGGTGGGAATGTCACAGGAGGGATGCATCCCATTGGGAGCTGTATTCTGCCCATTCATCCTGTTCTTGACAGCATAAATTTTGATAATTTGCATTAAGTATTGTGTACAAAAATTCTCCATTGTGAAATAATATTTTACTTTTTGTAATTAGCAAGCACTCTATGATGGGTTGCTTTGAGACCAAGCACGTACTTCTTTCTACTCTTCAAACTTGCTCCCAATAGGTTAATGTACATTTATGATTTATGATTGAATTGAGTATTAATGTGGTTGATTGCTAAATGATGGTTCTCTACATTCATTAGTTGGTTTTCTATTGAATTAAGAGTTTTCACATTCATTTATTTTCTTCAGTGTATTTTGTGGATTCTTATATTACTCAATGGGTTGTAATACTTCTTTATTATTATTTACTTTTTTACTCAAGGTGTTTCAGATTTGATCACTGGAAACTACTTCAAACTGGCTCCTATGTTCTGTCAAAAATATTTTGAGTGTTTACAACCACTGTCTATCAGGCATTAAGGATACACTGATAAACATTTTTTTAAAAAATTAACCAGGCATATTAGTACACACCTGTAATCCCAGCTACTCTAGAGTCTAAAGCAAGAGCATCATAAGTTCAAGTACAGACTGGGAAATTTAGTGAGTCCCTGTTTCAAAATAAATTTGAAAAAAAAATTTAAATGAGGGGTTGCTGGAGGTGCAGTTCAGTGATAAAGCATACCTGGGTTTAATCCCCAGTACTGCTAAAACTTAAATTGAATTAAACTAAAAATCCCAGCCTCATGGAGTTTAAATTCTAGTTTGTGGAAGTCAAAAAATAATAAGCAGGGGCTGAGGTTGTGGCTCAGTGGTAGAGCGCTCACCTAGCACGTGCGAGGCCCTGGGTTCGATCCTCAGCACCACATAAAAATAAATAAACAAAATAAAGGTATTGTGTACAACTACAACTAAAAAAATAAATATTTAAAGAATAGTAAGCAAATGGTATAGATTTAAGAAGTAAATGTTGTGGAGAAAAGAAAAGCAAAAAGCAAGTTTGCTGAAATTACTAGGGCATAGGCAGGAAAACTCATTAGTAAGTGTCATTTGCACAAAGACCTAAAGGACACAGGGCCCCTCATCATGTGGATGTCAAAGTGTTCCAGGCAGCACCTGCACTCTGGAGCAGGGGGAACAGAGGCCATTTCTTGAGGCAAGAACACACTGGCATTTTTAGCAGAATGGCTTAGTTGAGGACAGACTCTGGGAGGCAAGGAAAAAGCAGGCAGAGCAGTATCATTGCCATCTACCTTAACTGCCTATAATGCACATTACAAAGGTCTTGAGTTTTTATTCAAATATATATTGATATAATGAGAATTTATTGAATTAATTAGCCACCGCAGAGAACAGATTTCCTATAGAAGTGACCTGGCTCTGAAATTATCTTTTTCTATGCACAGGTAGGATTCAAACTATGGGTATATGCATATATCCCTGTCATAAGAATTGATACAAATAACAAAGAAAAAGTTAACAAAGTCACATGCAGCAAGGCTTTTCAACCTGTAGACCAGTCTAGGGTATGTGATCTATATAGGTGTTCATGTTATGGTCTTAATATCACTGTTGTTATTGATTCATAGTATCTATTAGCTCACAACTATTTTAGGAAAACATGTCACCTTTTTTTTTTTCTCCCATCAGGAACAAGGATACTGCTTTGTCCCATATTATATAACATGAGAAAATTTAGCCAGTTGTGGTGGTGCACGTGTGTAATCCCAGCAACTTGAGAGGCTGAGGCAGGAGTAACACAAGTTTGAGACTAGCCTCACCAATTTAGTGAGGCCCTAAGCAATTTATCAAGACCTTTTCTCAAAAATGTTAAAAAGGACTGGGAATGTGGCTCAGTGCTTAAGCACCTCTGAGTTCAATCTCTAGTATCAAAAAAGAAAGAAAACCTAAAATGCCATATATGCTTTCCTTGCAAAACTTCATTTTTGTCCGCACCCGATTAAAGCCTTCTCAACTTCCAGCCCTCTGTTCTCAAATGTCCTCCATCTGTGACCACACTTCATCTAATCCCCTCCCCACTTCTTTCCTTGGGATAGCACAGGGGCCAACAATTTGACCAGAACATCTCCTAATAGTAAAAGAGAAGAAAAGTACAATCTGGTCACAGAGGGGAGCCTGTGAGTCAGAAATTTAGGGCTCTATTCCTACCCTCCCTTTGATTGATTTCTCTGTGACCTTATGCTGCTAACACCTGCCTCCACAGGTGTGTGAAGGGCTTTAATTAATATTTGTAAATCTCCCTGATTGCCACAGATAGAGGGTGGCAGAAAAGGGCAAATTATTATTAATCATGGGAAAAAAGGGGGAGAGATTAAATTTTGTTCCTTCACCAGAGAGAAGCCTACAGCACAGACACTATTTGGGGGATAGAAGGATTAAATATAAATCCTGATTTACTTACTTTGCACTTATGGAAATGTCCAGTGCCTGCTTAATGCAAAACTTCTACTTCACGCTCCTCCCAATATTCAACACACAGGGCCTCCGACTCCTAATGCTGTCTATTACTGCAAGGAGTCTTGCTATTCATTGAGTGTGAGGGTTCATCTAATTAACTGATTTCAGTTCATTTGGCATTAAATAATTCCCCAAATTCCCATATGTTTGAACAATATGCTCAACAAGGGGGATGATTCTCTAAAAGCAATTAAATAGTTCTTTTAGGAGAGCTTGTCATCGGTCATTCGTAAGTATCTCTGCTATTCCTGTCCATGCTGAATGCAAGCAGCAATTACACGGAAAGCGCTTAACCCTCTCTAATGGCCACTGGCAAGTGTCCACACACAGGCTGCCACTTTGTGCTGCCTACAGAGCACATCTGAATTTTACAATTTTTTTTTTCAAACCTTGAGTATATTGTTTTAAGCTTTTCAGAGAGGATTGGCTATGCTAATACCCTGCTTTCCAATCCCCTCCCTGCTTAAAGGCAAATTCAAACATGTTTCCAGCTTAGCTTATGGTTCACTTTATAGAGGAAGAAAGGTCATCTTTGGACTTTATGGAAGATTAAACTTTTTGATGGCATCTCCACTGGTTCTTGGGGGTGGGAGGGGGCCATGTAATAATGCTCACGTCTGTCTTGGATACAGCAGATATAAGATGCTCCTGCTCAGTTACATGCCCTGGCTTTATTGCAGCATCAAATTATACATAGTGAGCTCAAGTGTGACCATGACTGACTTGAGAGAGAACAAGAGATGTCAACAAAAGCAATTCAGAAATTAATAACATGTTAGATGCACTCATAGAAAACTGTTTGTTTATACAAGATCTCAAAACAGGTATTATCATTTAGAGCTAAATTTCACCTTTATGTTACCCTAGAGACTGTTCTTTTTTATCAGAGATGACATATTTAAATGCCCTTTCTAGATGGCAAGGGTGAAAGCTTTGATAATAATATCAATCCTAGGTCTCCAATAGTATTGCTCATCTATGAACCCTAAATTATTTTTATTGACTATATTCAATATAATTATATTTCCTACAAGAGAAAATCCTGCAAACAAAAACAAAAAAGATCAAACAGCTTGTTTAAGAACACATGTGCGGTTAGATGAAAATTAAGTAGACATCTGAGTTTTCACTCTTGCTGTCCTATAAACTACCTCTTTTTAGTGTTTATAGGCAGAGACTGAAAATAAAAGCCAAGGGCTGGGGTAGCTCAGTGGTAGAGCAGTTTCCTGGCCTGAATGAGACCCTGGGTTCCATCCCCAGCTCTGCAAAAAATGGACAAAAAAGAAAAAAACAAACAAACAAGAAAATAAAAAGGGAGGCATTCGATGAGGTAGTTAAATTTCACTTTCTTTTATCTGTTTCAGGACTGCATTTCATTGTAAATAATTCACAATACCGAAAAATCAGAGTACCAGGTTTGGGTGGAATTATTTAAAATTTAAATCTGAAATAGGAGAGTGTTGAAAATATAGAATTATGTGTTTGATTATGCACGTTTATTACTGTCTCCTGTGCTATCACTATATAACCTATGTATGTGTGCATTGGCAGAAAATAAATGTTTTCAAAACCAGAATAAACATACTCAATCTGTGTATGTTTGAAATACTGTTTGGTTCCATAATAATTTGTTTTCTTATTTACTTGCATTAAAAAGCATTGCTGAGTGTGTTGTTGGGAAAAGATCACCAATCAGTCACATCTATAGTTTGTTATTGATAATGTTATCAACAAGAGTAAGGATTCAGCAGCTAATGTTTGACTCACCAGCCAAATCATTGAGTTCACCAGCTCCACCCTATATTCTCAAAGAAGCATTGGTCATTTTCTCAATTAGTTGATCAAAACCTAGATTTGGAACCTAGGCTTAAAGTCAGCCTGTGTGCCCTAATGGTACAACTCACACTTATTCTTGGGTGAGCCAACTTAGTAAATGAGGTGCTATCCAGAGTGAGATCTGGAGAGGGATTTGCTTGGCATGTATAGTACCCCAGTTTGGAACTAACTTCTCATTGAAAATTCTTGCTTCTGGCCAGGTTTGGTAGCTACTCAGCTACTCAGGAGGCTGAGGCAAAAAGAGTGCAAGTTCAAGGCCAGTCTAAGGGATTTAGCAAGATACTCTCTCAAAAAGGAAGAAAGCTCTCATTCTTAACATGCTTCTCTCTTTTGTCCTTTTCCCAACTATGAAGCCTGCAGTCAGATGGGTCTGAGGTGCTCCTGAGTCCTGAAGTCACCTGTGGTCCTCCAGATATAATAGTCACCACCCCCTTTGCGCTTACCATTCCACACTGTGCGGACGTCAGTTCGGAGCACTGGAACATCCATTTGAAGAAGAGAACACAGCAGGGCAAATGGGAGGTGAGACGCTATCCATCCTTTTGCAAAAAATGGGATTTTAGCTCTATAGATGGGATAGATTTCACTCTAAAGTCTCTTACCACAATGAGTCAGTTGTACAATTTTCAAGCATTTTCTTGTTGCCAAGGGGTTGTGGCATGAGTTTCATAGAAGCCTCAGGTATTGGCTAATTCTTGGGTTTTTTTTTTTTAATTTTTCTGCAAAAATAAAAAAAAAAGGAGAAAAGATAATCCAGAGCATTTTGTTTTGTTTTAGAATTCAATTGTAATTACCTACACAGACAGGTACACTTACGTACCTATACATTGGCCCCCATTCCTTCTTCCCAGGCCATGTCCCTGTCTAAATTGACATTACTCTGTGCAGTTAAGGAGGAACCTCAGGGCAGGCAATCTGTGCTCATAAAAGAAACTATTGTATCAGTTGCTCTTTTTTTTTTTTTTTTATCCTGGGGATTTTAACATAACTAGATTTAAGTATCCAGGAACAAAGTAGATGCTTAATATGTGTTTGGTGAATTAATGAATGCATAGAGGATTATTATCAGTGTCTCTTTCCCTGTGTATGTGAGTACATGTAAAGGGATAAAGTACACATAGAGAACCAACAGAGAGACAAGAAGAGAGAATGAGGATCCAAAATAGGAGGCTAACAACTAGGGAGACAGTCACAGCAAAGAAAGATTACTGTTGAATTACTATTTTAAGTGAAAGCTCTGATTTATCTGTCTGATAGGGACTCCTTTATGTCCATCTGAAGTCAGTTTGCATGAAAGCAGGTGAATTATCTTGTTGGAGCACAATGACCTGTATCAGCTAGCCCTGGGATCTTGCCTCCCGGGAGCTGCTTCAGGCAAAGAAAGTAAAAGGAAAATGATGTTTCTTTAGGAGAAGAAAATTCCCAGTTGTTGCAATAGATTACATTTACTCTGCCCAACTATGTCTTGAAACTAGTCTATTTTCTTTGTTTCAGAATGCATTCTGCTGTTTATTCAGCCCTAGTACTACAAGGCGAATTTCCTGGGGCCTGCAGTTCATAGAGGGGACATGTTTGGGTCTCCTTCTTCCCTTTATGTTTTGCTTTGCCTGTATTTTCACCATTTAGTTTTTCCTCTCAGTATTTCCTTACAATCTCTTACATCCAGATGGTGTTATATTTATGCTCTACTACACTAGTCACACATACCTAAGTTCTTATCAGAGAGGATGAAGTATTCTAGTACATCTTATCCAAATCATTTATTTAATGGTCCCTCGTGAATGATTTTGGTGGAATGAAAGAGGATAAAATGTTTGAGAGAAAATAAACATTGCCTTAAGGATATTTAAAGCGGTTTTCAGAAATAGATCTTTTTAAGATAAATAAATAAGTTTGCTTATCGAGGTTAATGTTCACCATTCTACTAAACCCGAGATTGAACAATTAACCAGAAATGGGACTTTCAGAGTGATTTTTGTTATTATAACCTATTAAAGTAGAATTACAACATGATAAATGTAACTATTTCTTGAGTTCTTGATGTAAACAGTTATTTTAATAGAAGAGAAATGCTTAACATCAAGATAATTAAGACAATAAAAATGTTATGAAAAAATATTTTTTTGTAATTTATTTGTTTATGGACTTGTGACATTTAAAATCCTGTCTTATTTCCAAGCAGAAAGAACATATCACATCTTTCCCCCAACAGGAAGTAATGTCCGTGGAGGATGAATCCACATCCTGTTACTGCCTTTTAGACCCCTTTGCATGCCATGTGCTCCTTGATAGCTTTGGGACCTACGCCCTCACAGGAGAGCCAATCACAGATTGTGCCGTGAAGCAGCTCAAGGTGGCGGTCTTTGGCTGCATGTCCTGTAACTCCCTGGATTACAACTTAAGAGTTTATTGTGTGGACAATACCCCTTGTGCATTTCAGGTCAGTATTTTTTTCTATAATTGATCTGTTGATGTCATAAACATATAAGCTTTCCTGAAGGTCAGTATTGACAGAGGATTTTGTTGTTGATGGTTTGGAAAATGAACCTGCATCACTGGTATTTACTGGCACACCCATCTTGATGGAAGAGCCAAGTTACTATGTGTCTAAGAATGCAAGAGGGGATGATTTCCCTGGCACTGAAGAAGAGAGCAGGGTTGAATTAACACAGGTAGACAACATTGCGTGCCAAATGATAAAATGCATTAGAAGTGTAGTTATAATTCAGAAAACAGAGATGCAAATGTGAAGAAGAGTTGGAGAAGAGTTTTTGAGAACCTTTTGCAAACCTTCATGGATGAATGATATTTAGGAGCGAAAGACAAAGGGACAGCATATGAGAAAGTGAGGTGGCATGAGACATAGTACATTCATTGAGCAGAGGGCAGTGAGAAAATGGCTGGGATCAACTAAAGGTTATGTGGTTAAGGAACAACAATTATAAATGATACCTCTCACCAGACAGTCATATTATATCCTGCACACATAGTCTTATTAATTATCAGGGCTACTAGGGCAGAGATGGTTCAAGGTTCCTTTCCATTTTGGGTACTTTTAATCATGTAAGATTCATCTTAAATTAGTCACTTATGAAGAGGGCAAGCTTATTAATAGCAGCAAGGATAATGCAGAATTGCCTGTAAGTTTTGCTGATACATAAATAGCCTAGCTCTCCTGACACACCTCATTCCATATCCCTGCTATTCCAGTGCTGCATCATTAAGTCCGTTATGCAGAGTACTTCCTCAGTAACTAGATTTTAAGACACTGAGTTGGAAAACTCATGTTTACCAATAGAATAGATACAGCAACCTGAACCCTGTACACACACCAGTAAAGGTGACAGTGTCAGCCTGCATTTCCAAACCTTCCCTGACCATCTTGTAGGCAGCACAGACCATTAAGAAGGGAGTACTTCATCTTTGGCTGCTCACAAAAGGTGCTTCTTTCAAAGATGGGACATCTCAGTATATCATACCTCATCTTGTCATTGTGTCACTTTGTATATACTCTTTGTCTGCTTCCCCCACTCAACAAAAAGAGAGTTACTCTTTTCAAGAGGAAGTATACAATAGGCCTTCAAAGAAGCAAAAATAAAGAATAAACATCTAAATAAAAAGGTTCACCTCAGGGTCACTACTTCCACCGAATTTTTGGGTACAGTGTACCAATGGCTCTAGTTGGATGTGGGTAACTCAAAGAGATCTCAAATGCTTAGTAAATTGGAGAAGCCATGGAAGATCATGGAGGACTTCCAATCTCCTGACTTACATAGATAAGCCACTGCTGACTGATGTGACCGTGAGGAGCTGTTCACACAACTGCCTTGGCTGTCCTCCTGTCACCAGCTTGGACTGTCTGTTGAGCGAAGATGTCACTGACAAGGTATATACCAGCAAGATAGACATTTGCTTAAAGGGGATATCCTCAGTGACTTTCCGATGATCTTGATCTGTTTTCATTCCTATTGACACTAGCAGATTCTACAACACAACTGTTCACAGACCAATATGTACTACAGAAGAAGTCATGAAAAAAAAACTCAGAACAAACCTTTCCAAACCACCATTGCCATTCCTGTTGGTAATTTACCTTTTTTATTAGTGCCAAGGAAAATGTTATTCTCCCTCTGGTTGAAGCCAAATATCTTCATTCCACTGGACTTTTATCTATGTGAATTAATCAGAGCCTTCAGCATAGATTCCTTAATATTCCTTAATATCTTAATATTCCATAATATCTAAAATTATCCATGTCATATGTTTATGGCTTTATATGTGGTGTATATTAGGGGGTGAAATTATATGGTTACTAACCTATTAAAACATTTCCGCTTTAAGTAGGCCTCAGCAACTATTCACTTTTTAACCTCCAAAAGACTTTACAGTTAATATTGTCTCCCCCAACTTGAGTGGTAAGAGTTGAAAATATGGTATACAGTGTTGGCACATTTTCTATAACCCCATAGAACCCTTCTTTACCAAAATTAGTATGCAGCTTTTCATGGAGAATGTCTGCAGAAATTGCCCATCTTGGAACTTGCTTCAACTATCACTACAATGAAATTTTTACCATAATTAGGAAAAAACACAAGCATGATTGTGACATCTGTGGTATGTGTACCCAACTAGAGCTTTTCTCTTAACCAAGGAAGGAAGGGCATGAGTATATCTTTTATTTCATTTATATCTCACTAGGGAATTATGTTTTATACAAAACTTAAATGCTTACCCTTTCTCTGGAGACCTTAAAGAAGAAAAACTCCCAGACCTCTCTGTCCTCTCAGAAGTGGCTAGGGAAAAGGCAATACAACAGACCCAGGAAATATTTCATTAGAAAATTTGGTGGCTAAATAGAAATGTTCTCTGTTTTCAGTTTGTGCTCCTTCCCCTGTACCTCCTGCAGAGATATGCTGCTTGCTGCTCATTTGTTCTGGAATAGCCTGTCTGAATTATAGTAGCAGGGTCTTTGAATGACAAAAACAAAATACCTCATCTACCTGGCTGGGACATAATTAATGTCGGTTCAAGTTTTTGGAGATGTGTTTAGATAAAGACATCTAAAACCGTCTCTGTGGAAAATTAAATCAACTCAGATAATGCTACTAAAAAACAAAAATACCACCTGCCAAAGGCAGAGAACCGTAAGAAGAGGAAGGCCCAAGGACCTCTTGTCCTCCTGTTTTTAATTCTGTGATAGAGCAGCCATGTTGTGTTTGTGGGTCTGACATTGACTCCTTTGACAAATTCAAATCAGAGGTTGTGGATTCGTGATATATTTCTGAAGCAGTAGCATTCTAAGAACTGTTTTTTGTTGTTGTTGTTGTTATGTTTTATTACACCCTGACGTACACATGCAGCTCAAACAAACCTTGACGTAGGGAAAGCAAGGAATTAAGCATTTGCCCTATCTAATCTTAGAAAAAGAAAGGGAAAAACAACTAGCATTTTTTTTTTTCCCTCCATCGCTCCCAGCACTCCTATTCAGTACCTCTCGGTACTCATTACTTACTTGGCATTAATGTGGATTTAGAATCTAATTTCAAAGGATTTCCTCCAGATGTAGTTCTGTGTTTATCAATAATGCAACCTTGGGAAATATTGTTCACGTAAAGCATTTAAAGGAAAACACCACAGCAACACAATTTATGTGTGCATGTATGTGTGTGTGCTTGAGTGTGTGTGCTGTGTGTGTTTAAGTTCAAACAGTTTTGTCTCATAAATATGTAAATTCAGCCTGCCTGTTTTAGTGTCCCTGAAGCACACCTGAATATTGCTGCCTGTCTCATTAAATCAATGCACAGAGCTCAGTGAGGCACAAAGCACAGGTTTCTCCTGGCCACAGCTTCAAGAGCTGGATGGCTTGCAACCCCCAATGCAAAATGAAGAAGCAGAAGGCCTAGAAGAACCACTATCCAGAACCTTTTGTACAAGACACCAGCCTGACCCTGTTTTCTAGTCTCATTAACTCCAATATCAATTAAACAATAGATCCAGAGATTTAACAGGAAGGCTCTCGGTACATGCGAGGCAGATAGGAAAAATCATGTGACTATCAGGCCTCAGTCTTGATGTGAGAGATACATCCACATGAGTAATTCAGAGCTAATTCAGTAGAGTTATTTGTATCACTGAGTCCCAAGCCAGGCATCGGAGTCATCGGGGAACCATTTAGAAATATAGAAGCCTGGGTCCAGCCTTCTAGTAGTAGCACATAAACTAAAGGCATGACAGAAAAATTGCTGTTAAGGACAATCTATTTTTTGTTTTGTTTTGTTTTGTTTTTTTAATTTATTGAAACTTGAGATTGAACCCAGAGGTGCATTACCACTTAGCTACATCCCCAGCCCTTTTTATTCTTTATTTTGAGACTGGGTCTTGATAAATTGCTGAGGGTCTTGCTAAGTTGATTGAATTTGTGATCTTCCTGTTTCAGTTGAGTCACTGGGATTATAGGCATGGGCCACTGAGCCCGAAACAATATATTCTTTTAAAGTTTATACTAAGAAGGTTATTGCTTTAACTCTGAAGCCAATTGTGTTTTTACAAATATATACGTAGTCATTAGTTCATTATTGTGCTTTTTTACTTTAACTATTATTTTGTTACAGAATTACTGTAATTGCTTAATATTTTATGCAAGATTACAAAATGCTGTTAATTATATATAGTTGGTTCAATATGTGCAAATTAAACTACTGTAATCTAAAATAACAAAAATAAATTATGTTATGTTTAAACTAGGGACCCTAATGCAGAACTTTTTAAAAAGGTTCTCTTTTCCTCTGTGATATTTATTAAGTGGATCTTCTATTTTTCAAATTCCTAATAGTATTTACTCTGCATTTCAAGGACTGTTCAGATAGTATATATAACTCTATGGCAAATATGACTGACATGTCATTTTACACATTATATCTTATACCAATGAAAAATTATTTATGGGATAGAAGTAATAGCAATCTGACTTTTCCATGGCTCTTTAAGAAAATAGAAGCATAGTAGAAGACTAGACTGTGATCAAGTCACTCAGTTACAGTTCTTGCTCTGTCATTAACCATGTTACTTTAGGAAAGTAGCTTTCTTGGGGAGGCTCCCACTTTTTCATCTATAAATAAGTACTTAGTGATCTAAGTCTTCATTAAGTTCCTTTCTAATATGGTAATCCTGTGTAGTTTCTAAATATTAAATTAACCCAGCCCTACACTAAGTAACACATGATCTTGAACCACTTCCTAAATCTCCTGATGAGTTCGTTTAGGTGAGTTAGAAGGAAAGAAAATGGATATACTTCAGAGATCATCGTTCAAATGCACTTCAGAAAGGGCAACCTTGTTCTCATACTGTGGCTTTAATAATGGTTTTAAAAAGCATGCAGCTTATTTATATCTGTTTCTAACCTTGCACCAGAATCTCAAAAAAAAAAGAAGAAGAAGGTTAATATATTATTATTCTAATTATTTTGCTTGGTGAGTAATAAACTCAGGTAGGCAAAGGAGGCCTAAAGAAAACATCCACCTCTCACTTGTAAGATTAGTCTTTTGAGTATTCTTATGTACCTTGAAATCCCAGCAACAGTACTCTAAAATAGAGCACAAAGTCCTAAGGATGACAACAAAAATTCACGATTTGACCCCTGCCCTACATTTTCATCATCTCCAGCCACACACTTTGTCACCCTAACCTTCTGTCTCAGTTCAGTCTACCTACAGAGCCTATGTACACACTGTGCTTACTGTCTGCAGGGCCTGCCCCCTCCATTCCAAGCTGCCAATTCCTATTCCGGCTCCGATATCCCTTGCTCTGTTATTGTCACCACCTCTCTCCCCTTTTTGTCTTCTCCTCCCATCTGGGTGAGGCACCCTCTGTCTGTCTTAACCTTCAGGGTGTACATGTGTTTTCATGCTTGGATACTGTGCTATAATCATAGGCCGACTGCTCCAGCCTCACCAGACTATGACTCCTTGGTGGTAGAGATTATTTCTTTTCTGTACAGCCAGTGCCCAGCCCAAGCATAACTCTATTGGACACTTATTAAATCTCAAGAGAAGGAATCAGTGACCCATATCTGTAAAAGACCTAATATCTCATCCAAGTAGACGTTTAGAATTAATTCCATCTCTGCCTTATCCTACCTCTTTCCCTCCACTCTTTACAGCCCCTGTTAGTCTTTGGCCGCCATGTTTCTGTGCCCAAATCTGCAATCCACAATGTTACAAATTATCTGTCCAGTATTGTAATTGCTAACCACATGTCCATATTTAAAGGAATTAAAATTAAAAATTTAGTGCCATAGCCACCCTAGCCACATTTTAAGTGCTTTAATAGCCACAGTGACTGGTGGTTTCCATATTAGACAGTGCAGATAGAGAAGAGTGTCGTCATCAGAGAGAATTCAGTGCGGGCCTCAGGGTCCAAAGATACAATCTTTCCTCTAGCAAAACCATGGAGCTAGAGAAAATGACATTGGAACTCAATCATTTCATCCTGAAAAAATACACTAGCAACCTAGTAACCGTTTGTGTACCTATGAAAAATAAAAATTAAAAATGATTTTACTAATGCCATAATGTATATAGACAAGAGATAGATACCCTCTAAACCTGTTTTTATTCATTAATTATTGAACTGTACATTTCACTATATATATAAATTTATTTGCCTTGCTTTTACAACCTTCTGTAGAATCTGGGAAGATTTACAGGGAATAAAGGATTTCCATTTTTATATTTCTCCTAGCTCTGTAAGGAAATTGTAAGTTAATTAATGGTGATTTAAAAAAAAATTGTTTTTAGGGAAATTGCTTATCTCCAGGTACATTGAAAGAGTTACCTCCATGGTGGTTTTAATATTTTCCAGAATACATATTTGTCTTATGATTTCATTTGTCCGGTCACCTCTCCAATACAATTCTAACCAAAACAAATTCAGAGCCAATTAAATGTTTGCTCAATAGAATATATGTGGGTTGTGTTTATATTCGGTATAATTATAAAGATTTCTCAGTGAAAGTATTTACCTCAGAAACTTAATTTCCTTTTTCTGAACTAACAGTAACTTGATAAATAACTTATTTTTTTCCTGGCCTTTCGGTATAATAACTTTTACGAATGTTACCACAAATAAATGTGCACCCTGGAACATTTATTTTGAGCCATAAATAAATAAATACCAGATAATACCTATGTGAATGGAGAATAATTGAACCAGAGCAGAGAGGGCTATGTCTACGTTTATTGAGACATATGATAATATAGCAGCATAAGTGCAAATACATCTTGATTACGGTCATATCAAAGTGAAATTCATACAGTCCTGGAGACACAACAGGATTCCAATTTGCTTGGGGCCCAGGGGTTGTCTTTCCATTTTAACCAAAAGCACAGGGTGTTTAAAAGCCTGTGCATCACAGGTGACAAAGAATAATTGTCTATCGCTGACCAAATCTTTTGTGCTCCATAGCTTTTAGTCCTTTACCTTGAACTTGGTTGGGCATGGAGATATAAAAGAAGTGTTGATGACACTGTGTGTTCAACCCTGGGAGACACATGATAGTGAGCAACCACTCCCATAGAAGAAAGTGCATAGAAAGTCAGATGCTTCATTGTCGTTTCTCTTTCCTTTTTCCTTTCCTATAGGAAGTGGTTTCAGATGAAAGGCATCAAGGTGGACAGCTACTGGAAGAACCAAAGTTGCTGCACTTCAAAGGGAATACCTTCAGTCTTCAGATCTCTGTCCTTGACATCCCTCCATTCCTCTGGAGAATTAAACCATTCACTGCATGCCAGGTATCGACCAAATAGGCTGCTCACAGAAACAGTTTTGCTGTAACTAGCAAGGGTATCTCAAACCCTGGTGATGGTCTTCTTACTGTTCCTCCTCCTTTAAAGTATAGATTTCATCTCATGACTGTCACAGAGATGTAGCAGTTTGTGCTACACACAAGGAATGAAACACATTGTCATAAATTCACAAGTTTCTAACAGGTGGGAAAAGAGGTGCATACTTGTCAGGTAATGTGACATTTCTCCTCTCCTGTTTGAATTGTGCCCAGTATTAGGTCAGAGGTGGCAATTTAACAACTTAAAAGCGAGGTTTTGTGTTGGCTTGTTTTTATGAAAATCAATCATAATGAGACCTTGCTTTAATCATATTTAGCAATGAATAAAGTACATGTCAGTGGCAGGCATTTTCAGGATGATCATGATGAGTAACAGAGCTGTGGCACCTGAGAACAAGAGATGCTGTTGCAGACAGGTGTTCACTGTCCAGTGAATTGGTTTAAGATAATAACAAATTCCAAGTGGAAAACCAAAGGCAGGATAATACCTCTATAGAGTCCTTTTAATTTATATATCAGTGCCCATGTCTCTTAATAGTGGGTTGTTTTATTTTCTTTTAACATCATGGGATGACTCAGTCTCCCTGAATCATTTGTAGGGAGATTGAATCCCAGGGTTAGCATGAAAGCATCTCTTAACAACTGATGATCCTGCCACAGTAATCTAAGAAAGTTCCCAGGGATACTATTGCCATTGGAAACAGCTGCCTAGTTCATCACAGTTTAAACCAGAGCCATCTGTGCTTCAAGGGACAGGACCTTTCCAGACCTGGAAAAGCTTCTGGTGGCTTCCCATGATGTGTAGACCTCTGTGGGGGTTTGTTTGAACTTTTCCACCCTTGCAATATTCATTGTTTAAAACATGATACATGCATACAGCTTAGGAGAATGAGTCAAGCCAACTCACCCAGAGAACTGCACTACACTGGTTAGAAAAAAGTTGAACCAACCTCCAACCCGTCTGACTTCTGAAATTTAGAAATTTCAGATACAACAAAGCTATGTTTTTCTATTAACTTCTTGAGCTTCCCATTCCTTGGGAACTGCTCCCTCCCCGTACAGATTTATTGTATCCAAAGTAAAATCAACATCTCTCATGGCTGTAAACAATTTAGGGGGATCACAGGGGAGTTGGCACATTCAGCAGATTTCCTACATAGACAGGTTTTCTATGCATAATTGTCTTCTTTATGACATGTCAGACTGGGGTGTCTTCGATTTCCAGTAAGCAGTGTTCAAGGTTTCTAGTCTAAATTGAACTTCAGAGTATTGTTAAAACAAGTCCTCACAGTCATGCAGATTCCTCCATATTAATCTTTATAGGTTATGAGGGCCTCATTTCACTGGATCTAATACGAGTGACTCAGTCCAAAGTAACTATTAAGTTTAATGCTTGAAGATAAAAAATCAGATGAAAGAACCATTACCTTGCAGCAGCTCTTAAACAATAATTCCAGCACAAGGAACACCAAAAGAGAGCCCCAGGCAGAAGAGACTTAGGGAATGAGGTGGCTTCTGACCTCAGAGGATGTAGCAGAGGCCAGACAAAGCCAAGGGGCATTGGTTCTCCAGGAAACACAGCAGGCTTTGCTTCTGGGATGGGTTTGCTTGCATGGAGGCTGTGAACATGTACAAATATTTGCTTTTTGTAATTGAGCATAATTTGAAAGAATCTTGGAAGGCTGAGAAACAATTTGATTTTCTCTGCATCAGGAGAACTACCTCTGAGGTTTCATTTTCACTTCATTTTTCTTACCCCAAATGGCTTTCTGCTCTGGCCCTCCTTTCTTATCAGCACCTAACCCACTGATTTCCTTGCATGTCATCACTGAAATCCCTCAGCTTATGGGCATGTATATTGCACTTGGCTTAATGGTCAAACTATGTTTGCCCCGGGCATAGATGTCAGCACTTTGGGAGCAGGGCTTGTGTTCAGCTGCTGGAGCCTCTTGTAGAACATCATGCATGCTGACAAAACTGGCATGGATAACAGAGTGGATTTTCATTAGGACATAGTGGTCAGGAACTATCATTATATATATCTGAACTTGCAATTTTGATTATATATTTGAACTTGCAAATTGCAAATTCAGAACTGTGTTCTCGGGATCCCAGAGAGAGACTATGATGATAGAAAATCACACTTTTTCTGACATTTATTTATAGGTCTGTCCATCAACAGGTAAATATTCCTGCCATTCATCCAACTGAATGCATAGAAAAACTCTAGTACCATTCTGGTCTTCTTTCCATTTCTCTAACTTTGAATCATGAATCTAGGAATTGACATACAGCAATTGATATCCAAACCCCTCTCTTCCAAGATACTTTCCTGGTTTTTTCTGGGAGAGCACAGACCTGGGAAACACCCAATGCAGAGCAGGTTTGTCTATTAGAAACCAGCAAACTGGCTGACAAATGATTTTTAGAATAATGTAGGTTTAGACTGTGTCTCGAGCTATGTTATGAGGGTCTATCTGTCAAAAGGTAATGTAAATGAAAATCTTGTTGGCTTAGGTTCTGGAGGATACAAATTATGGAATTTCATGCCACAACCTCTTGCTTATGAAGCCGGATATTGTGGGTAAAGGGAAAGGAAGGCCCCCGTGAGTTCTTCAGAGACCTGGGCAGTAGCACATACTGACCTTTAATCAGAGAAAAACAGGCCCATGGTGCTAGTCCCCCCAAATAATTTATTAGCCCCCATATTCCCTTCGGACTTTGGGACTCTGCCACAATGAGAGATATGCTATTGCCCACCTACCCCTTTCCTTACCCCCACAGAATCAGTACCCTCTGCTAGGAGGTAAACATCTACGCTCTCAATAGTTGACAGGGACCTGAGAGCTACTTAATCATGGCTTGCTTTATTCCTTGCTGACTATGTGGTGAGGAAGCTGTAATAAACAGTTTGCAATCAATTATTTATTTATTTATTTTTTAAGTCCAACAAAACATCAAGTCTGGTTATCATATCCTAGGATAAAAGCAGCTGTCTTTTCAGCATGCTATGAATCTTGGAGAACTCAGTGTCTGTCTCCTGCTAGGATATGATTTACATTCTCCCCATCTGCTGGGAACCTAATTATAATAGGAATCAAAATGAAAAAATTTCTAGAATTCTTTAAACACCCATAACTTTGCTATACTTTGTCCTCCATATTATATTACATATAATTTCTCTCAGCTCAGTGAACATGTTAGCGGTTTTGTTTTTGTATCTTGGGTGCCTTTTAAAAATAAATAAATAAAGTGAAGATGATTGCCATGAAAATACACTAATACAGTGCTTCTAACTCTATTATTTTTAAATGTTTTGTTGAGCACTATTGACAGCTGCTGCTCAAGTCAACAATAAAAAAATATTACTTCAATACTGTCTTAAAATCAGATTTTAAAAATGTTTTGATTGTGTACAGTGGCATGGAAAGAATAAAGAGAGGGGTGTGTGTATGTGTGTGTGTGTGTACAGATTTTCCTGTTTTTTCTGCAAGAAAATATTATTTCCACAGTGGACATTATACTCCTATCTTTCTTCCAGTGTTTTCAGGAGAAAATATAGGAAATTTAGCAAATAATACCAGAGAAGATACTTTAAGTAAGTGGCCAGTACCTTTTTCTTTTTAAGAAAAGTAAGCATTACCAAGGATTCAAACCCACTATAGAAAATGCAACTTTGCTTAAGGGCTGGACCTTGAGCTTATCTCTCTCTAGCCCTCAAGTCCAAGGGCTTATGTTATACTATAATTATTTAATTATTTAAATTTTCAATTTTAGAAAATAAAAAATGTCCCCAGTTAGGTAAGAGCACCTGATCACCTCTGATCTCTGTGTTATAGTTACTTTCATTGAAAGGGATGATGCAAAGTAACTCTACAAGAATTTATTGGTGCCAGGTGCTGTGGTGCACACCTCTAACCCCAGTGGCTTTGAGTCTGAGACAGGAAAATTGCAAGTTCTAAGCCAGCCGCAGCAACTTAGTGAGGCCAGAAGCAATTTAGCAAGACCCTGTCTCTAAATAAAATTTTAAAACGGCTGGAAATGTGTCTCAGTGGCTAAGGGCCCCTGGGTTCAATCCCCATATCAAAAAAAAAAAAAAAAAAAAAACCTAAAAGAATTTATTGGTTTGGAGAAGAGAGTCCATTTGAGAACTAACCACAATGAGAATGGAGAGAGGAAACACAGGGCAAAAGATGAGGAGGCCCTAGGAGGTCAGGCTGGAGATGAGGGTTAACACATCCGGCATCCAGAGGCCATTGGAATCCCCCCAGACAAAGAAATGATGGCATGAAAGCAGAGTTCTTAGGTGATGTGGTCTCATCATTGTCTCCTACCCATGATTAAAGGTAAGAGAGCATCCACAGTGCTGTCCCCCGCAGAATGCCAGCCAAGCCCTTTCTGAAGAATGGTGAGTAGGTTACTGCAGTTAGCTATTAATGAGGTGTAATGAAGAAAGGAAAAACTGAAGAGTGGCTGTGGGACAGAGATGGTGATGATTAATTTTCAAAAGGTAAAGTTGCCAGAGAAGTAAAGGCCAAATGAAATTATTTTGAGTGCTTATCCTTTAATGCCAGGAATTGATGATAATGAGATAAATATCAGAGATGTAGTTATTAGAGCCCTCCTCAGAGGATGGCACATGGGCATCCCTGAGCAGATGGGATTTCGGTGGAGTGAGAAGACAGGAGGCTGAGATGTGAAGTAGGAGTTGGCCATGATTAGCCATGGGTTACAAAGTGGAAAGAGACTCAGGAGGAGAAGCAGGGAAAGAGTCAGGTTAGATGGCAAGGAGACATGATATCACTTGTACTTATATAGTGGGTCCAGGGGAAATGTCATTTTTTAGTGTCTTAGGGAAAATGACTTTCTCTAAAAATTACCAGGAAGCCCCACTGACCAGAAGTGCCCTCTGTTGCCCTGTCTACTGCCAGGAGGGAAAGAGAAGAGATCAGAAATAAAACTTTCTATATTGAGAGAATATGGGCAAGAGGTGCCATCAAATGGACCTGTGCCATCTTGCCAGTGCTGCAAGCAAGGTCTGGTGCAGCGGAAAGCTTCCTCAGTGACCCTTAGCTCAGAGGCTTCCCAGCATTTCCCTCAAGTAAACCCACAGTAGGGTGTTTTTCAGTATTGCCCACTTCTAAGAGAACTTCAGATCCACTGGAGCTTCATTAGAAAATCATTTTGGTCAAGAAATCAGAAAGCATTCAAGATATTTCAACTAAGACATTTAATCAAGGGACTTAAATGCTTAAAGCAAAACAAACATTGAAGAGCCCAAGGAGTTGAGGATAGAGAAAGTCACTAGTGATATTAATAAACCAACAAGTTGGAGAATTTGAGGAAACAAGAGCACTAAACCAGATGATTCTGGAGGCAATGTCCACATGCCCCTGCAAACCTCAGCACGCTGCCTGCTGGTGCCCTTAGCCCTGCCTGCTGAGGTCAGGGGAGCGGTGAAGGCTTTTGTGCCCCATCTTCCTTCTACATCCAGTATGAGGGCCTCAGGAGAATGTGAAGTCCTTGAGAGTAAGGGGATATATAAAATGTAGTTTTTAGACTTCCATCCCCTGCTGGGTAGAGAATTGAAAAATGGTAAGAATAGGGTTGCATAGCTCCAGCCCATGTCTCACACAGGAATAAAGTCAAGGACATGCTATACGATGTCACACCTGCCAGGCACAGTGGCGCATGTCCATAGTCCTTGTGGTTTGGGAGCCTGAGGCCAGAGGATAGCAAGTTCAAAGCCAGCCTTAGCAATTTTTAGTGAGGCCCTAAGTAACTTAGTGAGACCATGTCTCAAAATGAAAAAGGACTGGGAATGTGGCTCAGTGAACACAAATGCCCCTGTTCTCAATCCCTGGTACAAAAATAAAATAAAATAGCACACCTGTAGTCCTTCTCTGAGTTCTTGACTTCACTTTTTAAGATAAAATTCACTACCTTCCCTTTGGTTAAGTGTTAGGAACAAATGAAACAAAACCCACAAAATTCTTACATTCATTGCTGAGATGTGTGGCAACAGTGGAGGTTAGATTTTTTGTTATCTCCTGTTTCCTGCAGATGGCTCTTAGTGCATTATTAAATATTGTGTCATTAAATACAGTAATCAAAAATCCATCTCTCCTTGCTGGTTCCCTCTGGATATATCCAAAACCAGGACTTGTGAGACATTTTGTGGAGAAAATTAGGAAGCAAGTTGATATAAAACAAGTGTACACCTTAGAACTCAGAAGTAACAAGGTAACTCATAGTTCCTGAAAGTGGATAGACTGAATTTTAATCATGGCCTTTGGTCTTATAACATATGCCAGCTTCATCACCAGTCACACTTCAGACTTGATACATCTTTTGCCACCTTTCAGTTTTAGTTGTGCAGAAAATATTTTTAGCAACAAATGAGCAAATTAATGAGATGAGAAACAGAAAAAAAAGTGAGAATGAAGATTACCAAAGACTAGGCGTACATGGTCATTGCCATGGGCATTCATGGTTCTCCATCATATTTGGTGCAGGAAGGAGAGAGTTTTCAGTACAGGAAAAAAACATGGCGGACATATTGTAAAGTAACATGCCTTAGCATGTGGTGGCATGTACTGGCTATATTAGGAAAAAGAAATAATCTCCCTCCTGATTTAGTAAAAATTACTGTTACCTCTCAAATGTCTACAAGTCCCTTGAGAGTGGGGACCAAACCTAATTTGTTGTTATTGCTTATTGCTTAACTAGCATAGTATCTGCCCACTAGCAGGAACCTTATACATAATTGTGGAATACATGAATTAACAAACAAGGAGCTGGCAAACCAGACCACTCTGGGGTGACCCAGTGTGTTTGTGTCTCTCTGGGATGTGTTTAAGTGTGCACAATTTTGCAGTAGGTATTCATTTTTATGCTGAATATATTGGTAGTGTTGTGCATTCTGCATGAATTTCTGGTATGGAGGACAAGTTCTGGTCAGTCAGTTCCTCAGCATAATTTTCATTTAAAAGATGGACTAAAGGAGCTTCTAATGGGAAATAGTTTTTAGTGTAAAAAAAAAAAATGTTGATTAACTTTAGATGGTATTCTTTCTAATTGTCTGTGAAGTGAAATCTAAGCTCTTGCAGTGTGGTTTTGGAATTCAAATGTTATCAGTTGGAATTGACATTAATTACTTTTGTGCTGCCTGGCATATGCTGGAACATTATTTCTACAACAATTCTACCGAAGTCGCTTAGGCAATTATCTCCGCTGTGATCATTGTCATCGTCATCATAATTATTGCTATTAAATCTCTCCTGTTCTCTGTGCATCTTAGCTGTGCTCCACACACCATATCCCCTTTCTCTCCTCCATCTCCCCTATAGGAAGTCCCATTCTCCCGCGTGTGGTGCAGTAACCGACAGCCCCTGCACTGTGCCTTCTCCCTGGAGCGCTACACGCCCACCACCACCCAGCTGTCCTGCAAAATCTGCATCCGGCAGCTCAAAGGCCATGAACAGATACTCCAAGTGCAGACATCCATCCTAGAGGTGAGTCCTTGAGCCACAGGTCCTTTGCCTCCCTTTCTAAGACACAGAAAGAATCATACACTATACCTATCACAGCCATGCTACTCAGGTTCTGAAAGAGCTTCAAAAAAGCACAGACTCTTTTACAACCTCATTAGCAATAAGGAAAAATAAACTTTCTCAGGATGAGGATTGAGCAGAGCTTCCATCTGGGCAGGGAAGTACAACTCATCAGAGGGCAGAAGTTCTGTGGAGGGACCTTTGGGGAAGAACTAGAATAGGGCTTTTTAATGCACAAAACCACAAGCAGTGTCATAGGTCATAGCAGGCTTGTGATACCAGCTGAGATGCATTACAGGCTGAATGCAGATCGTCCAGTTGAGACACATATAATAAGGAAGGACACCGTCACCCTGGGCTATTTTTCAACTGTCTCTGGCTTATTTTCCAGATGTTATTTGCCTCATATGTATTTCATCTTTGGGGCCTGGTATCTTTGTTTCCTTTAACAGTGTCTTACGTCCTCCAGGCTCAGGGTTCCCTATATCCACATTTCCACTAAACCTACATTCATCAGTAGCATAACACATTTCTGTATGCCCCCATATCCATGAGGTCTGCATTCCCAGATCCAACCAACCACAGACTGAATATTTTGAGGAAAATATTGCATTTGTATTGAACATGTACAGACTCTTTTTCCCTGTCAGTATTCCCTAAGCAATACAGTGTAACAGCTATTGACATAGCATTTACATTGTTTTAGGTATTGCAAGTAATCTAGAGATGATTTAAAGTATACAGGAGGATATATGAAGAATATATGCAAACACAACATAATTTTAGGAAGGCCTTGAGTACCCTCAGACTTTGGTGTCTCTGAGAGTCCTGGGACCTTATTCCTATGGATACCTAAGTCAAGAGACAGCAGTATAGGATGGACCAAGCAGGAATTAGTCTCATTCTACAAGGTAAGAAAATGGGAGTACAAAGAGATAGAAGACCCTGTCTGGGTAATTTCACTGTTGAAGGGTAGAGTTAAAATTTAAGTCAAAGGTAAATTCCTTTGGAATATTTGTAGAAGGCTTCTGATCTCTGCCATGGTTCCGGATTTGATGTAAATCACTGAATAACTTCCCAGCTTTGGACTTGAGCTTTTACAAAGTAGATAAGAGCAATCCTGAATGCTTATTTAGGGATGGAGGGAGAAAGTAAAATAGAGGTATAGTTCTCTGTTTATCAGTTATCTGGCTTATGTAAGAAAACATATTTGATTGTTCACTTATAGACTGACTATACATGTACATATATATTTATCATATATAATTAATATATTTTATTAATTAACTTAGGCCTGATAGAAGGTTTAAAACACTCATATACAAACAACTCAATTTTAAGATTTTTTTGTTAAAAAAATAGTAGCTCCACAACATTATCACTTATTTTCATTCCCATTTCAGTTCATTGTTTATGCAAAAGGCATATTGCTAATTCCTCAAATAGTTTTTCTGAAGAGTGGATGGCATTCCAGAGGCTTGTGCCTTAAAATTGATAGCTGTCTTATCTGACATGTTTGTGCAGTATTTGCATTTATTATTACCAATTAGCATTTTGTGCTAAAGGAATTTGGACAGGGCAGGTAGATTCAGAAACCTGTGTAAGATATTTTTAGAGCCTCTTTTCTTGAACAGTCTTGTCATACTTAACACAATACATTTCTAAGTAAAATAAAAAATTGTAGGAATTTTTAAAAATAAAAACAAAAAGAAAATACAAGCAATCATGGAAAACCCAAGCATCAAATTCAGAAGCAGTCATGAAAATGTAGAACATGAAGATGCCTCTGATCCAAATTACCTTAAATGTCTGTTAACAGATCAACAAAAGAATTCCAGGTTTAAAGGATTTTGTTTTTAAGGCACCCAGTTATTGGGGTCAACATCTGCTATTATGAGATATTTATCTGAGACCAAAATGATAAAATGGCTACATTCTGATACTGTTGCTCCTTGATTAAGTAAATTCTTGTAGTGCATGGAATGAAAAGTATCTCATGAACACAGTCCTATCCTTTATTCTCCAATTCCTTTTCTAATGCTTCTCAAATTCACATTCAACTTTGAAGTGCCTTAAAGAAGATAACATCACTGTATCTCTTGATAATGGGAGGCAAGTGGCAGAATAATATTTAGTTAGTCATTGTTGAGCTGTAGTCCTCTGGTTTGTAGGCTACTGTATTTTAGAAGCTTTATTAGCCCTTTTGATCCTACTGAGGATAACTTCATTAACTGCTTGAAGTGCTACTGCGGGAATTTGACCTCATACATGAATATCCATCTCTTTGTAATGAACTGCATTTCTTAGACAAGTCTAATTTGTTAACATTTTCTATGTCAGGAGAAAACTAATAACTTTTGAAAGATACTATATTTTAGGTACTGTTTCATTTGCTTTCACATTTATCATGTAACCATCATTACTCTGTGCATTATTACTACTATCACAATTCGAAATGATATAAAAAAATCTCAAGGAGATCAACCTTCTGGTGCAAGGTCATTAAGATTAATAAGATGGGGAGCCAGGGTACCGAGCTAAGCATTGTGTCTTCAGGATCAAAGCCTGAACTACATACCACATCACTTCAGGACTTCAAACCAGGTGTTCTGATTTACCTGCCTTCACTCTGAACCTTCCCCATAACATAAGCCTTCATTTTGGAAGAAAAGGCACTCATGATAAACAGGCCAGCACCAGCCATTTAGTCTTTGAGTCAGTCGCCAAAGGAGTAATATGAAAACAGAGAAGTGATTTCTTCAAAAGAAGAAATATGGGAGGTAACCACTTGTGTGATGAACTAGGACAACCATTCATTCAATAAATCTTTGAGAATAGAATAGATATCCTACATGTAGATCTGTTCTGTAAATGGATGTCTTCATTGATCAAAGTTCTTCAACTCTGGGACTGTCTGACTCCCAGGAAAATCATACAGTTAATGAATCTAACAAATAAAATACTGCCCTCTTCCCTTAGAAGGACTTGACTTTTGACTTTATTTTCTTCCTTCCTTCCTTCCTTCCTTCCTTCCTTCCTTTCCTCTTTCTTTCTTTCTTCGTTATGGATGGACACAATTCCTCTATTTCTTTTATGTATTTTTATGTGGTGCTGAGAATCAAACCCAGTGCCTCACACATGCTAGGCAAGTACTCTAGCACTGAACTACAACCCCAGCCTCAGGATTTGACCTTTGTAGTAAATGTTGCAAGCATATTACTACGGCATCATGAATACACTATTATGTATAATTGCAGTGCACCAATAACAACTAAATTTAAAAATGAAGATAGAGGAAGTGTTGAAAAATGGTGATCACCTGCAAAGAGGATATAGACAGATCAATCAGTGAGTTAGGAATCACGTCAGTTTTTAGGTACATAGTTCTTGGACATTAAACCAAAAAAAAAAAAAAAAGACTGTATTTAATGTGGTTTTTGTAAGCTAGTAATTGGAATTTTATTAATTAAAATCAGTATCAATAATATGGAACTAACACTTTTAAAAATTTCAGTGGATGTTTTTGAAATTTTTTTTTCCTCTTAAGGAAAGGAAAATAATTCTCTAATCCTCTCCTAAATTTCTGTATCTCTAGGCTCCAGAGGTTCCATTCCTTTCTTACTTGAATGGGTTGTTTTAATGACACTATTTCCTATATGTAACAATGAAACCAGAAGAGGTTGTATAAATGATTTTCCAAATAAATGCAATTCTTATCACCATCAGAATTAAAAATTTCTTTAGTGAGCCAAAATACACACACACACACACACACACACACATATTGCTTTTTAAGGTAGTAAATGTCATATCAGTCTTTAGAAGTAGTTAGTTCCCCTTAAATTTGACCATGATGAATTACCTAATGATTATTGCCAATTGATTCACTATAAAGGAGCAGTATCACTCATCTATAAACTGTGGATTGGAACAAAAGAGTTCCTACAACTGAGGACAAGGGAAAAATCCCCAGATAAGTTTTTTCATTATTACTTATTAGTATTATTGAAGACTTTTTTCTTTGTTGGTTAGAAATGACTTAAATGGGAATTTTACGTGTTACAATTTTGCCTTCAAGCAGTCCTCTTATCTTTCTTCCAAAAGTGGTGGAAGTTGGGGGATAATTTGTCTGTTAGAAAATAGAATACTTGGAATCTCTCATTGATTTACAACTCCCTAAGCGAACCAGGTAGCAGCCGCTTATCTCAGATGTGCAGAGCATGGAAATCTACTGTTCCTCTGCATATTTAATTTAAACAATCAGGAAATGTGATGTATCTACAGGATTCTTATTGCTTGGCCCAGATGTCTTTTAGAATGCATCATAAATGTTACATAAAATGTCATCCTTATGTGTGGAAAATATTTAAATATGGAAATTTAAGAGGGACATTGGACCCACTTATTAAAATGGAGTAAACAGTAGAAGTGCTTAGTTTTAGATACAGTTTCATATGGTATTATATTTACTTTCAAAGAAGACCACTTCCTCTATCCCTTTTTGAAGGTAGTATGCATCACGGTCCCAACAGTAAAGACAGAGATTTGGGCTGCACAGGTGCAGTGAGGGCTTCCGGAAGCCTGTTTTATGTCTTGCCATCCTTTGGCCTGGACCTGTGTATTTTCAGTTTTAAGCCATCTTTCCTCAGGTTAGCACACTTTGGTGCCATTTACAGATGAAAACCACCATGGAAACTTGCATAGAATCACCCCATACACACACACTAAGCTGTTTCATACTTTTTAAGTCAGAAAATATGTAAGGAAACCATTCCAATTTGATTTGCATTCTTAGAGGCTGAAAGAAATTTTACAAACCATGATAAAAAAAATGAAGTATCTTGTAACCTATTTTATGCAAGGAGAAGCTGAGTTGGTTTATTTTATAACCATCCAATATATCAGAACAGAATTGTCCACTCTGCCAGGAATAAGTACCTACCACCCAGTTTCTATTCAACCAATACCTAGGAATCCTTCAAGGCCAACTCAAATGCTCTCTCCAGGAAGCCTTTCCCACTATAAATTCCTGAAACAAAATGATAATGTGATTCGTAGTCCTTGTCTTAACCATCCTGCTCTATGCATTCCATACATGTCTTGAAGCTGTGAAAGGAGTACTGGTACTGGCGTAGTTAGTAGGATATCAGAATCCCAGTTTCAGCTATGTCACAAACTACCTAGGTGGTTTCTTCCAAGTTTTTACCATGTTTCATGATCTCCATGGAGTCTACTCAAATTGCAAAAAGACTGATTAGGAAAATGAGGCTAGGAGAGGCCATATAGCATTCAAGTTACAAGCTAGGAAGTGCAGAGTCTTACTCCTAAGTGAGATCTTTCTGATTGTTAAAAAGATTCTTTTGCTATCACATCTTGCTAATTGTAAACACTAGAAGGTTTTTTAAATTAATTTTTTATTTGTTTTAGTTAGTTATACATGACAGTAGAATGCACTTATACACTTTGATATATCATACATAGATGGGATATAATTTCTCATTTTTCTGAGTATACATATTATAGAATCATATTGGTCATACAGTCACATATATACGTAAAGTAATAATGTCTGTCTCATTCTACTACCTTTCTTATCCCCACATCCCCTGCCTTCCCCTCCTTTCACTTCCCTCTGCCTAATCTAAGGTAATGCTATTCTTTTTTTTTTTCTTTTTGCCTTAGGAAGATTGTTTTTATGTGCATCATTCTATAATATATTGAGAAATAGAATTAAAATTAGTAAGTAGAATCCATTTAATATGAGATGTACTTTGAGTTTTCAGAGGAGGGCATAATGTGCAGCACTATCCAAATGCATTTGCCTAGAAAGCTGCTGCTCTTTTTGAAACACTGTGTTAGCTTTTTGGAAATGCTGTGTTAAGACACCGTGTTTCTTGATCACTCTGTTCAATAGTTACAGAAAAATAGAAATCATCATGAGTCATTAATAAAATCTCTGCATCAGCCAGTTTCTTCAATTAACAGATACTTTAAGGAGACTGGCCATGTGTGGCGGTTTAGTTGTGTGAGTCTGGGCACTAGCTGAGAAAGGCCATGTATTGTGGTACCCACAGGAGTAAGACATGTAAGATTGGAAGCCACAGAAAGACCAGGGAAGGACGTGAGGTCAGTTCAGGAATGGTGTGAGCTGACTTGAAGGAGAACAGAACAGATGAGTTCATAACAAAAAGGGCAATTTCTTGGGGTTTAGACCATCCTAACTGGCCCCTGAACCACATCTCAAATCTAATGCGTTAATTTTCTCTTATGTAAGTTTTTTCTTTTGCTGCATTAAAAAAATACCCCAAATGTAACAGAATAAATCAATACTCATTTAATATCTCAGTGAGTCAGAAGTCCAGGCAGAACCCCATACCGGGGTTCTCTGATCAAGACCTTACAGGATGAAATCAAGGTGTGGACTAGAGTCAGTTCTCCTCTGGAGCTCACAGTTCAAGCTTATTCACGTTTTGATGCTATTCAATTTCTTGTGCCCAGAGGATTCAAGTCTCTATTTTCCTGTTTGACTGTTGACTATGGCTCACCCACTACTCCAAGCCAAACATCTCCCCCTATAGGCAGTTCATAGAATGGCTATTTGCTTTCTTCCAGGCCTGCAAAGAGAAGCCTCCTGACCAGAACTAGCTCTTCCTCCTTTGAAGTCCACCTGATTAGATCAGGCCCACCCAGGAGAATCTCTTAATTAGTTCAAAGTCAATTGATTAGGGATTTTAATTACTTCAGCAGAATCCACTTTGCTTTATGATACGTAATAATATGGAAGTGAGTCAATCAGATATTTTCTGGTCCTTAAAATTCTGTTAGAATTCTAAACTTATCAGCAAATATAGCAGTCTGAAAATTTTCCACTGTGATCTTTTAGGATATTATGACAAATTCTGTGATGCAACGAAACCACAAGTCCCTCATTGGACAGCTCTAAATTAGAAGCAGGGTGGGCAGATATCAGTCTGAAGCTGCCCAGCCTGTATCACTGCACAGAGCTAGTCTAGATGTCATGTAGCTCCACATCAGCAAAGGGATTTTATTCAGAAATGAGAGCAAAATATTCATCAGAAAATCACACAGCTTTAGGACTGAGGGAAAGACAGACTTTTTACATGATTAACACAAAATCAGTTCCTTGTAGATTTCTTGTCCAGAAGCTTCCCAGCCAGCTTCTTTGGTCAGCCCATTCATCTTTGGTCATGATGACCATCAAAGGATCATTCCTTAAACTGAACCCAAATCCGTCATTTAGAAGGTGCTTCCTTCTAATTCTAGATCTACTCCTGAAAGTCTTAAAAAAAGAAAGAAAGAAAGATCTAATTCTGTTGTCACCTGACATCTCTTTGGATGTTGGAGGCGATTGTGACTCCCCTGAGTGGAACGGTCTGCTGTAAATCTCTAGAACACAATTTATTAGGCCACTAGAGAAATTCTTTACTATTTTAGAAGAGAAGGCAACTTGTCAATGTGTTTTACAGAGTCCCTCACAACAGGCAAGCATTTGTGCATGTGTGTTAACACAGATTTTCAGAAATAAATATGTTGTCAGTAATGCTTCCCTTTGACTGATCATGCTTCCCTTCTGTTGTTTCTAGAGTGAAAGAGAAACCATCACTTTCTTTGCACAAGAGGACAGCAGTTTCCCTGCACAGACTGGCCCCAAAGCCTTTAAAATTCCCTACTCTATCAGACAGCGGATTTGTGCTACATTTGATACCCCAAATGCCAAAGGCAAGGACTGGCAGATGCTAGCGCAGAAAAACAGCATCAACAGGTATGGTGGCAGCTTCTGAACGATGATTTTCTTAAAAGAACTTTAAAAAAACAGAACTGGTGGAGGTAACCATGATATCTTTATAGACTTTTCAGGCCTTATTTCGTATGTAGTCCCTCTAAGGTGACACTGTGTACAGCATTTCCTACCACCCCACTCTGCCTTTGAGGACACGCCTTTGAGGACACTATGGAAAAGTCCTACGTTGGTTCTGGTCCCATCCAGGCTTGCTAACTGGGTCACTGAAGTAGTGGTTCAGACTCTGTCATCTGGATGCCTCTCAGTGGTCAGGACAGAGCTGAAACTGGGGATACCTTACAAAGTAGCAGATTTCTTACACCTTCTCCCCACCATCACATAACCTTAAGAATCAGCTAACCCCAAATAGGGACATGCTCAGCCTACAAAAATGGGTGTCTCAAGACAAAACAAAACAAAACAACAACAACAAAAAAAAACTTAGAAGTTATCTGAGAAGAACTCTTAAGTCTGAAGACAGAGGGCATTAAACATGTCAGAGGGGGCTGGGGTTATGGCTCAGCGGTAGAGCACTCACCTAGCACATGCAAGGCGCTGGGTTTGATCCTCAGCACCACATAAAAATAAATAAATAAAATAAAGGTATTGTGTCCAACTACAACTAAAAACAAACAAACAAAAAAATACATACCAGAGGTTATCTACACACCGTGAAACAGTTGCTAACACTGACATTGCTCATTGCTGCACTAACATCACAGGTAAGTTGATGGAAGGATAGAGAGATTCATAATGGGCTCTATTACTTTAGATGAGAAAAGGCAGGGGCAATGCCATCCGGAGCAGCCCTGATGGTCAGGCAGATTTTGGCTCAGCTTGAGGGACAGCTCATAGGGAGGAGGCCTCAACACATGAAATCTCTCCAACCCACTTCTGCAGACCCCCAAATGAATAGAAAAGACAACCAGATTTGCCAGAATCATTTCGTTTCCCTTTCTTTTTACTTTTTTTCCCCCTTTTGAGAAAAAGCCTTCTTTTCTTACAGTTTGGCTTGCTTAGTTATTTCTTCTTCTTCTTCTTCTTTTTTCCTTTGTCCCGTGTTTTCACAGACATCCTACCTGACTCTTTTCTGAAAGGGAGGGTAGATGTCTACCAAGAAAGGATAGAGTGCTACTCCCTGACTCAGAAGGGATTCAAAATCCAAACACGAAGGGCCTCACTAGAAACAGTAGGAGGCACTGCTGCTGGAGAAAACTGAATTCACAGACAGGCAAGCCGGAAAAGAAGAGGCACATTCTTGAAAAGGCATTTATTGAAAATGAATGAGTACAAAAAGTTATGTGCCGCAGTCCGGCTGCAGCAAACTAACCGGGGGGTGACGAACAACTTGTGTACATTGATACAGCAGGAGTGGAAGTGTTGGACCGGAGGGGTATATATACATTACACACAGCTTATCTTAATTAACATTAATTAGATACAGCAGTCAACCAATAAGGAATCTCCACACTTAATGTCTCACTGGCGTTACTTCACAAACAACTCCCTCTGCAAAATGCCAGGCGCCATCTTGACTTGTTTACAGACTCTAATAGTTATGAATGTATAAGAAAAAAACATGAGGCTGAATATTTCCCAGAAGCTTTGACTAAGGAAGAGATGTCTCATTTATAACCTAAAAACACTGGGGCAATGTCAAGTTTCACTTTCTGATCGACATGGACACAGAATGAAGAACTAATCCAAATGATATAATTTAGTTCAAGAGAGCCGAGAAAGAGAGCACATGCACATTGGGCAGAATTATCTGCCCAGGAGGCCTGGTTCTACCACCAATCCCAGTCTTCCTGAATATGTCACTTACTGTTCCTATGTTTATCTTTCTAGAAATGCAATTTATAGGAGTATTTCAAGTCTCTAATCCAATCTGACTATTAAAGTTTATGGTTTTTAAGTTACCACTTAGAAAAAATAATTACAACAGAGTATCTGTGGGTCCATTAATTTACAGAATGAGCATGTGCATGTTCCTGTTTTGTTCCATCATGTTCTGCATTTACAGCATATATAAGACCTGCAGCAAGGGGCTAGGGTTGTGGCTCAAGTGGTACAGTGCTCGCCTAGCATGTATGAGGCACTGGGTTTGATGTTCAGCACCACATAAAAATAAAATAAAGATATTGTATCCACCTAAAATTAAAAAAAAAAATTTAAAAAAAGACCTGCAGCATGTGCGTCTAAAGTCATCCATCTCTGACTTTGAGCAAGGACCTTGAGTAGGGAAAGTATATTTCAAACTAGGAGATTAAGTTCAATAGCCTTTGTGTCTGGGCACTAATGAACATCAGGTGGCTGTGTTGGAACCCATTGCCCCCTCCAAAGTCTAGGGTCATAAAACTTGAGTACATGGCATGAACTGTTGGTTTGCTGTTTTCCCCTAAAACCCCATCTCAATTTGGGAAAGACTCAATTCCCTTGACAAGTAATTCAAACACCTGTTTTATGGAAAATTTTCAGCACAATGCCCAGAATATGTAGATCCCTAGCAAATATTAGTTATTCCTCTTGACACTGTTACAATGAATACCAGATAATCACAGGAATGTATGTAATCTACTTCTGTTTCAAAACATTATGTAGTTAAGGTATTGAATTCCAGTGACCACAATTTCCTGTGTCCTTCTTTATTCTCTAGCTTTAGTCTTCAAAAGTAGCCTAACTGTACAGTGAAAAAGACTTAAATGAAGGATCAGCAAACATTCTTTTTCTCTTTTTATTTATTTATTTTATTAGAGCTTTAAGGTAGCATTTTTTTTTCTCTAAAGGACCAGTATAATACTACCTAGTATATAGGTAGTAAATAATTGGGGACATATGGGATGTATTGCGAGCACTCAACAACTATTCAGCTCTGCCTCTGTAGCATGAAAAGATCCTGAAATAAGACACATAAACAAATAGGCCTGGCTGTTTCCCAGTGTATGTTCTTTGCAAAAATAGAAAGTGGCCTCTATTTGCTGAACAGTCCATAGTAACTGATTCCTGATTTAAAGGAGTCTACCTTCACTTAGCAAAAGGTCCATAGGGCTTTGTTGCTTTTATCAGGATAGTACCTGGAGCTAAGTACTCCTGTTCAGCTCTGCGCCAAGCTTTTCCAGGGTTGAAGAGCTAGGGGGGTCATGGCAGAGGTAGCCACTAAGGCATTTGGAAAAGCAGAAGAGGAGGACTACTCCAAATTCCTATGCCATGTTAGCTAATTCCCATTCTCATTTTATAGAAATTCTTACATTTCTCTTCCTTTTTCATTTGCTAGAGCAAAGAAATATATTCTCCTTCCTGGAAAGGAATGTATGTGACAGAGGGGATTTGCAGATACAACCCGTCACAGTTTCCTATTGTATAATCCTTCATCACTGTTTTTACTTTTTTAAAAAAATATATTTTTAGTTGTAGATGGGCATAATACCTTTATTTATTTATTTTTATGTGGTGCTGAGGATCAAACCCAGTGCCTCACACGTGCTAGGCAAGTACTCTACCATTAAGCTACAACTCCAGTCCCATGTTTTTACTTTCTTATGTTTGGATATAACTGAGTATGAAACAAATAAATTCAAATCATGGAAATCTAAAACTGTCCATACACTGATATTAATGGGTAAGAAAGCTGTTTTGTTAGTTTTGGATTTCATCTACTCTGTGGTCAAACAGAAGCACATAGTCAACATTTCTATTCAAAGAATAAACCCTTGATCTTATGATGACACTTTTACCTGGCTCTTCCCCACTCTCAACCTCCCAAAGGGTTAAACAGCTAACAAAGTGACAGATTCCAAATCATGAAGGAGGAAGAGTTTTCAAAGAGGATGGAGGAAAACATTTGTTTTTATTTTATTGCCAGTGAAAATGTTTTTTTACCCTCCTTTTGGTAATGCAATTGTCACTTATGATAATCTGTCTTTTTGTCAAACAAATTTTTACTGAGATCTAAATAGGAAAGAAGACACAGGGAGTATAAAGTGGAAGACTTAGCAATGGATGAGAAGATGAAGCCTAACAGTAGTGTGTGCTGTACCTCTGGCAACTCAGGTAGCCTTACAACTTGCCGAGCATACCTGACAAGCTAAATATGCTGCACAGCCTAGCAAAGAATGTCATAGATAATAGTTGCAATTATGGATTCTGTGAGGGAAATTTGACTATGACTCAGTGAGCCTACTTGCTACACTTCAAAGCTGAGATTGTACATTTAGTCTGCAAATTCAACTGCAATAACTCTCCACTTCAGAGCTCTTGGCCACATGTGATTGGTGGGATATTACTGAGGACTTAACCAATTAAACAATACCTAAAACTACCTGCTTCAGTTAGAAGTATTCTCCCCATTTAAACCCTCACAGCACTTTATATATTTTATGATACTTTTAATTTTTTTAAATTACTGTGAAACCTAGATAGATCCAACTACTTTGGGAAAATTCAGTAAATCTTTCTTGAATGAATGATATGAACTCTTTCATAGGATAGTATATTTGACCTTTAAGCCTTGCCTCCTAATGAAGAAAACTGATAAGAATAAGCATCAAGGGATTTCTACATTTATTCTTAATTAAAAGTTGTTTGGCTGATGTGATGGAAGTGTCCTGTCTTTTTCCCTCAAGTATTAAGTTCTTAGAGTTCTACAATTAGATGATTCTTTTGTAAGTCCTCATGATTTCCATATTCCAGAAACCCTTGTGAAAACACATCCATCTTGACCACATTGCTATGGGAACAGATGCATGAGATATGGGTGGATGAGTAGAAGGGATGTAGACAAAATAGAAGAAAGGGTTCTAAAATGGAAATGTAGTAAATGAATTACATACTATTAATAGTTTTTTCCCAAGGCCCTCCCTAGTAATATATGTATTTGGAAATCCATAAGCAGTGCCAGGGAAACATATTTCTTACTGGTATTCTGGTTAAAATGGATCAAATGCATTTCAATTGTCAGGGTTAATGGATGATGGTGTAAAAAT